TAGCGAGAGCTTTGGTGGTACTAAGGGCGTGATACTCTAACGCTAGCAGAAATCTGTGAGAGCTCTGTGCGACTGATCGCACGTCGATCGCTTGTAGCAGTCTTGTAGGTTGAAGCCGCTTTTATCCGAGCACGTTTGGCGCATATCTAACTGCTGCAACTATCCAAAGACCCATGCAGTTCCATTTGGGATCGACCCGCAGCGCTCGGGCGTGATGCACTTCTGGCGGGATGGTCCTCTGCTTGCAATAAAGATTCCGCCAATCAGGAGCAAGTATTTTTCAAACAGCCAATCAAAAGCGAGTCGTTTTTAAAATTTCAAACGCGCGGTGGATTTCGAGTTGCAGCAATTGGGATTTGGCCATGGAGAACGTCGACGCTGGGTACCGATGCGACCTCGACGTGCAAGTCGCCAGCACAGCGACGGGCCAGCGCAAGTCGTCCAAGTCGCTTCGTGGCGTTCGCATCCTCAAGCGCGCGGGCGGCCTCCAGGTTCTTGCGGCGGGTGCCAAGATGGCGATCCGGACACCGTCGGCCGAAGGTGCGCCGCACGATGCGCCGTCGACGCCTCATGCTCCAATGTTGCATAGTGTACTTTAGCCAGATCCAGCGCGGCAAGATGACGTTCATCAGGTACGCAATGGCTACAAGCGCGTTGCCGGCTCATACGCCTACCATAGGCGCGATGCGACGACCTTTACGCAGTACAACCTCTTCAATGGCACGCCCGACGACTTAATCGCGCTCCGCGACTTTGCGCTCACGCAAGGCGCCATGTCCAAGACGACGATGCGGATCGTGTCGCCGCTCAAGAACCAGGCAGCGCCGATGCGGACGCCGCTGAGCGACCGAACAAACCACGTGTTGAAGACGCCGAGCCCGTCGCCGGCAAAGAAGTTGCGCAAGCGCCGAGCATCACCGCCGCGGGTACTGTCTCCAGACGACATCTACAACATTATGGCTCATACGAACATGTAGGCGCGTGCACTGACGTCGTCCCAGCCGACCAAGCGGTCCCGCGTCGCCCTCACCAGCGAACAGCAAGAGGTGCCCCCGCGTCGTCACTCGCATGCGATACCATGTTCGAGCTAGATCATTGATGCAGTGGCGCGGAAGGAAAACGTCTTCTTCACGGGCCGAGCTGGCACGGGCAAGTCGTACCTCCTTCGACAACTGCAGAAGCGACTGCCGCAGGAAGGCCTCTACAGCACTGCGACGACGGGCATCGCGGCCTACCACATCCGTACGACGCTTTCGCATGCGATACGATCTGATATCTCGTGCTAGACGGCATGACGCTGCACCACTTTGCGGGCTTGAGCGCAACGCTTCCCTCGACCAAGCTCGATGACGTCGTGGCATTGATCGAGCGCAAGAAAGACGCCGTTGTCCGGTATGCTCTGGGTTGTCCATGTGGTCCCAGCGCATCATGGTTTATCTAGATGGCGCGCCGCCCAGATTCTGATTGTGGACGAAATCTCTATGCTGGATGGGGACCTCTTTGAGCTTCTCGAAGGCGTCGCCCGCAAGATCCGCAAGTCGCAGGCGTTCTTTGGTGGCATTCAGCTCATTCTCTCGGGCGATTTTTACCAAGTACAGTTGCCTCTTGCGCCTTCTCTTCTTCATTGCCGCTCGGTAGCTGCCGCCCGTCACGACGGACAAGCAAGCCATCTTTTGTTTCGAAGCGCCGAGCTGGGACACGTACGTTGCGCGTGCTCGCGGTATGACCCTATTGACCTCGCGTCTAGGGGCATCAAGGCGACGTTCTCACTCAACCAAGTGTTTCGCCAAAAGGACTCGGAGTTCATTACGATCCTCAATGCGATCCGAGAAGGCACGCACACGCAGGTAGACATGTACCTTCTCGCGCTGCGTCCCTCACTCTCTCCTGCGCAGGAGATGCTCACCAAGCTCAATGAGCGCGTCGAACCTACGGACCGAATCAATCCGACGCAGAAGGCAACCGACGACGACGATGACGCGATCCACATCTTTACGCACAACGCCGACGTTCTCCAGGTAGACCTTCATTGAAGCTGTTGATGCCAATGACATGTCTACTAGATGAACCAAAAGCACCTGCACGCTCTGGACGGCGTGGCGCACGAGTATACGGCAAAGGACCGGTGCGATTCCATTCTTGTGGTAGCGTATTGAGGCTCGACGTAGCGGACCGCGCGAGTACCTCTTTGGCTGCCCCGTGCCAACGCGTGTCGTTCTCAAGAGTATACATATCCATATTGGTGCGCATGTCGAGTCTGATCCGTGTAGAGAACGCCAAGGTCATGCTCACCAAGACGATTTCCGTTGCCAATGGCCTCGTCAACGGCTCCCGCGGCGTCGTACGTCACTGCGCCTTTGCACATATACGCGTATTCATGTGGATGTAGATTTTGGGCTTCACGCCGGGCGCCATGTTGCCGTTCGTGCGCTTTACCAACGGCATCTCCCAAGTCATTCCGCTCGAGGAGTTTGGCGTGACGGCCAACGACTCGGTTATCGCCAGTCGCCAGCAGGTTGCTAGAGCAATTTGCGCTTGCGTTGCTCAGATCTGCGTAGATCCCACTCACGCTGGCCTATGGCATCAGCATCCACAAGAGCCAAGGGCTCACGTTTGACCGCGCCATCTTGCACCTCGGCAAGGTTTTTGAGTACGGCCAAGCGTACGTGGCACTCTCCCGCATCTCGTCGCTGCAAGGTACACGCCCTTCGTATCGCTTGTCGACCCTTACCGTCCTAGGCCTGCGACTGGCGGCGCCGTTGACCAACAAGGCCATTCGGGTCCATCCAAGCTTGCGCCTCTTGGCCGTCTGAGAGTATCTTATTGTGTAAAATAGTGTGGTTCTTAAATCGTGTGTCCTTCTCTCGTATCTCGGCTGAATATCCATGACGTCCGTGGCTCACTACAACGCTCAAAGAGATGTATAACTCGGCTCCGTGCGTACAAAGACATGCCCTGATCCGTGCAGAGGTCGTTCTCCTGACGAGGCCGCGAGACGTGCTGCAAGGCATGTCCGCTAGTAATTTCGTACACTATTTGCGTACACTGTGATAACGCATACTGCAGTTTGTATCGGATTTTAATGCAGCGATGGGCAGTCGATCAAATGTGGGAGGTGAAACCGCAGGCGCTTGTCTTTGTACAAGCCAAAGATACATTTTGCATGAGCAGTCGAGAAGTCGCGGCCGAGCCTGACGATGGCGGCTTCCAGGCGTACCGCGAGAAGTTCAACGAGACGATCGCCGCGCCCAATGGACCGCTCCTGCGCGTGGTAGGGCGCTGTGGGCATGGCCACCGGCAGCTCATGGCGACGCCACGTAGATCCAACCGCCGCTGGATGGCCTCCTCGAGTCCAAGCGCACCGAGCTCATCGAGACCGCCGAGGAGAACCTCGAGGAGGACATGGACGAGCTCAAGGACGCGACGCATATCCGCAACGTCGAGATCCAGCGGCAGTTTGTACGCCGACATCGCTGTGTGCGACCGCAGCTGATGTGCTCATGTAGGATGCAATTCTGACACGCGGCCACCACTTTGAAGTCAAGCTGGCGGACGAGACGCGGCAGCGCGACGAGTCGATTGCGATGCTCAAGGTACTGACTGCGTCATCCTGCACGAGTCGTTGAAGAGGAGGATGTGCAGGCCTCGTTCACGTCGGCTTTTGACGACGCGTATGCCGAGATGGAGGCCAAGACGAACGCTGCGTTCAACGGTCGGCTAGACGAGACGATCGCGAACGAAGAGGCGCGCGAGAACAACGTGCAAGTGCTCTTCGACGAGTTCATCCAAGTGACTGTGCCCAATATCATTGAAGCGCTCCAAGGCACGATCACAAGGCGGCTGGAAAAGTCCCACGAGACGTTCGACATTGACAACACCAAGCTCCTCAAGCGCGAGAAGAAGATGACGTCACAGGTCGAGGGCCACGAGCGCAAGACCGCACAGGCGTTCGGGGATGAAAAGGACCGGCGCGTCTCGACATTCGTCGCGTTGCAAGAGGCCATTCACGCCACGATGCGCACCGACGACCGCCAGGTACGAACGAGTGAACCTTGGTCGCGTGCATGCGACGGCAATCTAGACGGAGCGAAAGCAGAGCGCCCACATCGAGACGATCGTCGCCTTGTACAACCAGTACCTCGAAGAGAAGGAGATGCGGGAGACAGAGGACGCCGAGCTCCTCGAGAAGGTCTCGAGCGCCATGGAGCGCCTCCATGCGAGCATCCTCGAGACCTTTGGCGAAGAGAAATGAACCAAAGCCAAGCGGCGTCTCCGCATGGCAACCTGCGTCCTGCGAGGTGTTTTGAATCCAAATCTATTCGACTTGTACTTTGTCTCCTACGGCGCTGAGCGTCCAGTTCGTCACGCCATTTGCATGCAACGCGATGGAGACTCTCGCCACCAAGTGTGCGTGGACCTGTTGAGTTGGCTGCTGCATCTGGTTCCTGCCTGTGATCCTACGTGCGGCGCGAGCGGCCTTTGGCTTGGCGCGACCTTTGCCTCGCCATGGGGACGGCGTAGGCGAATGGCACCTACGGGCCTGCGACGGGAAGACGGACGAACGAGGTTCTCGGGGTTCCATAATGGAAGAGATTCGATATTGAGACAGTCAACTTGCAGCGCGCCACGAAGCAGCACACAGCGCCTTGGCCTCGCGACGTCGTCTCCTCCGACCAACTCTGGTTTCATGGGCAAGCAGCACATTTAGTTGGTGGCGGCCTTCTTCGAGACAGCCTTCGTGCCCTCACGGAAGCCGTTCTTGAACTTGCGCGGGACGGTCTTCAAGTAGCGCATGCGGCCCGTGCCCGTGGTGCGGCGGCGAAGCGCCTTGGCCGACCAGTTGTACTTGCGCATCTTGGCGGCCGGGTAGCCGCACGAACCACACGTGCTCTTCTGGATGTGGTACGACGACTTGCCACAACGTCTGCAGATCGTGTGGGTCTTGTTGTGGCGCTTACCGTAACTAGAGGTACCCTTGGTCTACAGGCAGGAGTGAGCGGCTGCGACCTCGGCCAGTGCGCTCGACGTACCATTTTCAGAAGATGAGTTGGGAATCCGAGTGAGCGGAATCGTTTGAGCTCGAGACCCAAACCCAGCGACCGCGCCACCAGTCAAAATCCAATACATTTCAAACGCTCCTACGCACCAGTCATGGGTTTCCACCAATCACATGCGAGACCTGCTTAGACCGCATACCTCCCATATCAAATATTTTATCGAAACAAAGAGGGTTTTGGCGCCAACCCACCATCAGCGATTTTGAGACGACGTACGGAACTCCCTCGACGCTTGGCGCAGTGCAGCGCCCTCGTATCCCATGGCGCCGCCACCCAAGGTAGAGAAATGCGGGACGTGCCGGCGTTGCATGTTTGCGTGCAAAACGCCACGGAGCTTGAGGATGCAGGCGCCAAAGAGACGAAGAAGACTTGGGCGCAGAGGCATGAAGCTTCCGACATGCATGCGACGGATAACGCAGATGGGACCAGCGGGCACGTAGAGGCAGCGTTGGAGCTACTTGAACGCGGCGACGACACGCGCCGGTGACGAATCCTCCGCTGTCTACCATTCTGGTTGTCAACGTGGTCGCTGCCGGTGGGACTCGGACGGATGTAGCAAGCTGCGGATATGGTGTTGGGCCCTGTGTTGGCCCTACGAATGCAGCAGTGCATACAGCGGTGCTATCGGCGCAGATGAGGCAGCGAGAGGCCTTGCGCCTGTTCATTGACACGCCTGTCGTGAGAAAACCTATGGCTGTTTGTATGGGCAAGAAAGGTACCCAAGTTGCACTATAGTTTGCGAGAGGTTTTCGAGCATGACGGTGTCGCCGGAAGCTTGGGCGGGCCTCGCGACGCTCAGCACGGCGGTTGAGACGCTCGAGCGCATCGTGCGCTCGGCGGATGTCCATATGGACCGCCCGCTACAGGTGATGGGCCAGGACGCGCTGCTCTTTGCCGCCTCCATGTACGACGAAGACCTGGCGCTGGAGGTACAAGTCTCGGAGCATCCATCGACGACGATGCCACTCCGTCTGCGCTATTAGGTGCTCGCGGCGCGTGCGAGGATACCTGTGAATGTCAATGCCATCGACAACCACGGCTACGCAGCGCTGCACTACGCTGTCGACGCAGACATGGACCCGTTGGCGCAAACGTTGCTCGCTATCGAGGGCATTGGCGTGCGTCTCCAGACCGAGGACTTGAGCGTTGTGGGGCACATTCAGTCGGGCGGGCGCACGCCCTTGCATCTTGCCGTTCTCCGCGGCAATGTGGGCCTCGTGCAGCTGCTTCTGGAAGCCGACTCATCGCTTGCAGCGATCGCCGACTTGGATGGCCACCTGCCCGTGCACTTGGCACAGCTCCACGGTGGCTCCATGGACCTCATCGGTCGTTTGCAGGTGCGTACCGCGCAATCGTACAGCCAACTTAGCGATGGATGATGCTATTAGGCGTGCCATGCTGCGACACTGTACGACGTCGCGTCGCTGCAGAAGCGCAAGCAGGCTGCGCAAGCAGTAGCTGCGGCGCGCTACCAAGCAAGTTTGTCGGTGCGAACGCAATCAATGTGGCACGTCTGAATCGGACTAGGTACCAGACGCGTTGGCAACGCCATGCATTTTTCCCAGAATCTGGTCGCAAGCCGAATGTGAGCACGTGCTGAGTCAGCTCGAGGCAACGACGCGCGTAACGGGGTGGCACACGACGCGGCATACGTCGTACCCGACGACGGACCTTCCGAGCTACTGCCTTCCTCGAAGTGAGCACTACTGGGTCCAAGACACATTGTGGTGCGTTCGTCGACTTCTGGTTGCCGTACCAGATTCTATGGCATTCTGGTAGCGACCGACTCTTCCCGTTGCTTCTCTCGCGCTTCCAGCTCCCAGCGTCAACACGCCTGTCGTTTCGAGATCTCTTTTTCGTCAAGTACGAGGCGGCGCAGGACGCCCAGCGGGATCTCGCACTGCACTGCGACGGCTCGGTCCTCTCGTTCAACGTGCTTCTCAACAAACGCACCGACTTTGTGGGTGGCGGCACGTTCTTTGCCCCAACACAGACAACGGTACTTCTACCGACGACTGAATCGCTTTCGTTGACGACGCGAGTAGGTTCACATCGAGCAAGGCGACGTCGTGGTGCACAGCGGGCGTGTTGTGCACGGCGCGGCGCCCGTCACCGAGGGCAAGCGCCTCATTCTCGTTGCTTTTCTCAACGTTCGCTTCCTTGCCGCCACACCGTAGTACAGAGTCGCAACGCTAGAAGCACGGAATCATTAGTTCTCTTCGGGACGGCGTCGGCGACTAAATCTGCAGTGCGGTGGACGAGTCCGTGTCCTACGGTGTGGTGTAGTACAGGTGGAAACACCTGGCCCACCTGCATGAGATTTGTGGAGGGCACGGGTCCGGCTACTATGCCCCTGCGCCCCAGCCACTCCCTATGGCGTTCTCAGATGCTCCGCGTTCGCGAGAAGAAAGCAGTCGGACGCGACTTGTAATCAGGTATACCAGCTGGTGCATGCGTCCACGGGAAGAGTCTTGTGGGCGCTTGCGGTCGCGCTGCGTGTTTGAGCAAACAGCGACTCGATTGCCGGAAAGGCGGTCTCGGAAAGACGGTGATCCTGGATACACTTGACGTGCGTTATGTATGTGAACGTCGACACCTTCAGGAATGGCAAGCATGGTGGCGGACCCGTGCATTTCTAAGGCTCTGCGCCAAGCCGACTGTATGGAGCAATGGAATCTTCGCCATTATCAAATTGCCCGCGTGTCTGTACGTCCGAGAGGGAAGTAGCACGGCAATAGCTAGAGGTACCCACATACACACATGGACGACGTTCAAGTTGAAGTCGGTACGACGACGCTAGGCGGTTTGTTGGCGCGCGACATGATGGGTTGGCGCTTGGTCCTGATTCCGGAGCGTGGCTGAGGAACGCTCTCCGGCGAGAGGCCGAGCGGCTTCAGCAGCAAAGCGAGCGGAACCGCTCCCCGAAGACAACCACCTTGGATGCACATGCAAGTTGGTGCATGGTGGGAGGGGCGACCGGTTGTACCTGTTCGGACACGCATCATGGGTGGGCGTCGCCGCCGCACCGTCGAAACGAAGAACATGCCCGTCGATTGCTAAGGACAATATAGATTAAATAGTATAATACGCTGCTTCTATCGCTACTTCTATCGAGGGCTATCTAGTTGAGGATGAACGAGACGCAAAGGCGGATGTCGAGGGGCGACGTGGCCGCGGCGCGCGCCTGCTGCTCTTCGAGCATCTTGCGGGCCTTGAGGCGGAGGTACTTTTCCCGCTGGCGCAACCGCTCCTTCTCGCGGTTCTCGAGGTAGTTGGCGCGGAGCTTCGCAAGGACGTGCTCGCGGTGCTCTTCATAGTACTTCTTGGAGCGCGCGCGGTTGCTCTCGAGCTGCTTCTGGCTCACGCAGCGCTGCTTCTTGGCTTGGCAAAGGAGTTCGACCGACGTCGGGTTCGGGTGCTTGCTGCCAGCCATGGTGTCGAAATTGGTGTTGGTTGCTGCGGACGAGGCAAATTGTTAAGTGACCAAGTGCCCGCGGTGCTAAGTGGCGCACGTTGAAGTGGTTCGTGAGACGTGGCGAAGAAAAAGGGCGAGCCCAATTTGTAAACACTCGTATAGAAAAGTGTATACAAAACCTAGAGCCGTGCCACATCAAGGTGCCATGCACTGCGTAGAAGGAAACAACGTTCGTCGGTCGTCCAACTGGCATCTGCAGATTCAAGCCTTGAATCTCATGTGACGGGCGCGTTAAAAAAAGGCTGCGCGCCGCCATCTTTGCCCCGGAGCAATGCAAGCTACTTGTTTATCGCATCGCGCGGCCGCGGCTTTGGACGTCCTTGTAGTAGTACTCGTACGGTCGAATCCTCTGGACGTGCAGTCCACTTGAAGCTGCGACGTAAGGACAGACGTTTTCTGTGATAAGAATGGCAATCAGATTCGGCTGCAATCTCCACGCGCGCTGGCGCCATGGGCGCCTCGCATGTCCCACGTCGTATCACACGTGCCAAGCAGCAAGGGCGAAGGCTCCGCGACGATGATTGGCTCGACGCATCCACTCTGTCTGCCAATTGGCGCCGATAACCGCGCCGAGTCGCGTCCACCGGTGCACGGTCTGTCCCATTTGCACGTACAACTCCAGTGCACCTCTTGCTATGTTTACAAACCGGTCGGGCGCGATATTAGTCGCAGCATACCTAGCCGCCGGACAACATTGTCGTGTGGTGCCACAACTAACCACATTTATGCCAACGTGCCACACATAAGAGCCATACTACACCACGTTTTGCCTGTTTTAGTCGAAACTAGCCACAAGTAGAGCGACGAGTCCATACGCTATTCGATCGGCCTTTCGTGCTTTGAGCTCCTCAGCCCGTAATGACGCGGACGCCGCGCGACGAGACCTTGTGCGCAGCGAGGTTGCTCGGCTGCTTGATGAACATGGTATTGGTCGGGATGTCGTACTCGCGCGCAATCCACTCGATCATCGCCGGGTCAAACGCGCCGTGGATCGAGATAAAGTCCATCCTACGGAAACGTCATTGTCGGCGCGGTGTTCGCAGACTTGGAGAGCCTACTGGAGCTTGGGGTACATGCTGTCGAAGAGCGTGACCATGTCGCGCATCTCTTGGATCGCCGCCAAATTCGCGTCAGTCTCGTCCGCGTACATGTGCACAAACCGGAGGTGCTGCGTGATTTCGTTGGCGCGGACGTACATGATGGCCTTGTTCATCGTCGTGAGGCGCGGTGCTTTCACAAAGAAGATCATCGGGCGCTCGTTGATGTCCTTGATGGCCTGCGTGAGCTTGGCGACACGGTTGCTCTCGCGCTCAAAGTACCGGCCCTTGGACAGCGACGACGGCTCGCGCCTATCGCTGCCGCACACGAGGTTGACGACGAGGATGAGTACGCGCAAGATCGCGACACGCTCGACCATGCCAAAGACAACCGTTGCAATCACGATAAAGTAGAGGAAAAAGTACACCAGCACTTGCGGGTTGCCGAGGAGCTGGCAGAAATACCCGATACCGACCATGGTGACACCGAGGATACACGCCCACCACGGCGCCTGCACGTCGCGCGGAATGTCTTGGCGTTTGAGCTTGAGCGTGATGCAGCCGGCGCCAAAGAGGAACATCATCGAGAGGAATGCAAAGGTGAAGACACCGCCGAGGATCTTGATGTTGGCGTCGAGGACGAGGATGAGGCTCGCGCTCACGATGAAGAAGAGGATCGAGATCCAGTGTGGCGTGCTTCGGCACGCGTTTTGGTTCGTGAGGAAGGCGGGCATGACGCGGTCGTTGCTGAGACGGAGGATGAGACCTGTGATGCCGACGAAGGACGTGAGGACACCGGCCGCGAGCACGACAAGTGCATCGATGGCGATCCAGAGCTGGAGCCACTTGCCACCGGCAATGTAGCCCATTTGCGCCAGCACGGTACTCTCGTTGGCCAGGAGACCATCCGGCGCGTTGAGCGGAAGGACGCCGAGACTCAAAAGCGACAAGAGGATGTTGTAGACGGTCGCAAACGCCCACATGTTCTAGCATAGTCACAGTGAGGTGTGGACATAAATGTCATGTTATCGATGGACGTACCCGCATCGTCTTGCGAAAGACGCCTGGTTGCTGCTCTTCGACAAAGTTGGACGAGGTTTCAAACCCCGTGACGCCGAGCATCGCCGACGAAAAGCCAAAGAAAAGCGCAGTCGCGACGTTGCCCGTGATAAAATTGCCTGCAAAGTTGACGTCGGGCAATGGCTGGTGGTAGTTGTCTTTGAGAATGTCCGGGTGCTTGAACTAGAAATGACAATATTCGACACATTCAAAAAGTGGATGGAATACCGTGTAGATGGTGCTGACGACCACGAGCACCGTGAGCGTCAGCACGTGAAAGCTAAAGATGAAGAGCGCGACGACCGAGGACTCGCCAATGCCAATGATGTTCAAGATCGCAAAGAGCGCAAGAATCCCAATCGACGTCGCCAGGAGCGGCAGATCCGGGTACTAAAGGCCATCGCAGATAGGTATCGTTCAAGCGTAGCAGAGCTTTACCTCGTACTTGAAGTAGGAGGCAGCCGACGTGGCCGAGACAACCGCGGTTGCGAGGTACGAGAGAATGCTCAGGCACGCCGCCACGGCTGCAAACCGCTTCGATGTGGTGTTGAGGAGGCAGTTGTACGAGCCGCCGTTGAGCGGAAAGGCCGTCACGACTTCTTCGTAGATGAAGCGGAAAACGTACAGCACGAGCGAGACGAGGAAAAAGCCGATAGGCGCAAGGTACCCGGCAGATGCAGCCACGACGCCCGCCGAGTAGAGACAGCTGCCGAGGAGATCATTACCCGAGATAGCGGTCGAACGCCACTCGCCGAGCAAGTGCTTGGGCTGGCTCTGCGACGCGCGGATGGCGGCGATCGCGTCGGGCGGCGCGGTGACGTTCTCGTAGCCGCAGTCCTTGGTTGGGTAGAGGAAGGATGGGCCTTGCTCGTTGTCGTTGGAGATGACGATGTTGAGGTACCGCTTCGGGCCCGTGGGCGGAACCTCAGGTGGCAGCGTGACCACCGTCGGCGACTCCATCTCGCCGTAGTCGTTCGACATGGCAAAAGCTCCAATGCCCAACTCCAGAGCCGGATTCCCCAGCCGCGATGCCATTGGTGCGCATGGACCAATCCATGCGCAGCTATCTTTAGCCGGCGTCTGCGATTGGTCAGCTGCCGCTTGATCTTTTGGCAAGGATGTGCCCACAAAATCGAACGACTATTTGGTGCCACATCGTCCACCGACTAAACGATTCAAGCGACTACTGGCGCATGGACCTTTTCAATCGAGTACGAGTCGTGATAAGCTCAAGCGCGGACGCAGCATCCACCCTTGGAGACGTGCCACTTCAATTCCCGACTGCTAGTATTCAGTGATGCTACCCTAGTTCGCCCATCAAATGGGACAAAAACCACGAGGAAGATCCACGCAATGGTATTGTCCATTGACCTTGTATGAATTTCTCGTTATAATTGTATTACTATGGAATTAATGTCGTCTTTCGACATCATCCGTCTGTCCATTTAGCCCGTGATGACGCGAACACCGCGCGACGAGACCTTGTGCGCAGCGAGGTTGCTCGGCTGCTTGATGAACATCATGTTGGTCGGCACGTCGTACTCTTGCGCAATCCACTGGATCATGGCCGGGTCGAAGTTCCCGACCACCGACAAAAAGTCCATGCGGAGTTTGGGGTAAATCGAGTCGAAGAGCGTGACCATGTCGCGCATCTCCTGGATCGCCGCCAAATTCGCGTCCGTCTCGTCCGCGTACACGTGTACAAACCGAAGGTGCTGCGTGATTTCGTTACGGCGGACGTACATGATGGCCTTGTTCATCGTCGTGAGGTTGGGCGCCTTCACAAAGAAGATCATCGGGCGCTCGTTCATCGTCTTGATGGCCTGCGTGAGCTTGGCGACGCGGTGGTTCTCGCTCTCAAAGAACCGGACCTTGGTCGGCTGGCTGCTCTCGAGCACATCGGGCGTCGTTGTTGTCGTCGGCTTGCTCTTACTCTTCCCGCAACCGACGTTGATGACAAAGATAAAGAGGCGGAGAATCGCAATGCGCTCGACCATGCCAAAGACGACGCCGGCAATCACGATAAAGTAGAGGAAAAAGTACACCAGCACTTGCGGGTTGCCGAGGAGCTGGCAGAAATACCCGATACCGACCATGGTGACACCGAGGATACACGCCCACCACGGCGCGTGGACGTCGCGCGGAATGTCTTGGCGCTTGAGCTTGAGCGTGATGCAGCCGGCGCCAAAGAGGATCATCATCGAGAGGAATGCAAAGGTGAAGACACCGCCGAGGATCGTCGCGTCCGCGTTGAGGACCAAGACAAGACTCGCGCTCACGATGAAGAAGAGGATCGAGATCCAGTGCGGCGTGCCGCGGCACTTGTTCTCGTGCGTGAGGAAGGCGGGCACGACGCGGTCGTTGCTGAGGCGCCGGATGAGACCCGTGATGCCGACGTACGACGTGAGGACACCGGCTGCCAGCACGATGAGCGCGTCGATGGCGACCCAGAGCTGGAGCCACTTGCCGCCAGCAATGTAGCCCATTTGCGCCAGCACCGTGCTCCGGAAGGCCAGGAGCCCGTCTTTGCTGTGCAGCGGGAGCACACCGAGACTCAAAAGTGACAGAATCGGGTTGTAGACGGTCGCAAAACCCCACATGTTCTAGCATAGTACTGTGAGGTGTGGACATAAATGTCATGTTATCGATGGACGTACCCGCATCGTCTTGCGGAAGACGCCCGGCTGCTGGCTCTCGACAAAGTTGGACGAGGTTTCAAACCCCGTGACGCCGAGCATCGCCGACGAAAAGCCAAAGAAAAGCGCAGTCGCGATGTTGCCCGTGATGATGTTGCCGGCGAAGTCAACGTTGGGCAGCGCCGTGTGGAAGTTGTCTCGGATAATATCCGGGTGCTTGAACTAGAGATGGCAATATTAGACACAGTCGAAAACAAAGGGATGGAATACCATGTAGATGGCGCTGACGACCACGAGCATCGTGAGCGTCAGCACGTGAAAGCTAAAGATGATGAGCGCGACGACCGCCGACTCGCCAATGCCAATGATGTTCAAGATGGCAAACAGCCCGAGGATCCCGATGGAGGTGCCGAGGACGGGGAGCTCTGAGAACTGCGACTGAAAGTAAAAGGTCGCCGACGTGGCCGAGACAACCGCGGTTGCGAGGTACGAGAGGATGCTCATACAGGCCGCAATCGCCGCAAACCGCTTCGATGTGGTGTTGAGGAGGCAGTTGTACGAGCCGCCGTTGAGCGGAAAGGCTGTCACGACTTCTTCGTAGATGAAGCGGAAGACGTAGAGCACGAGCGAGACGAGGAGAAAGCCGATGGGCGCAAGGTACCCGGCCGACGCAGCGACGAGACCAGCCGAGTAGAGGCAACTGCCGAGGAGGTCGTTGCCCGAGATAGCAGTCGAGCGCCACTCACCGAGGAGCTTTTTGGGGCGGTTGAGCGTCACACGGATCGCGTCGATTTCCTCCGAGGCCGCGCGGACGTTCTCGTAGCCGCAGTCTTTGGCAGGATACAGGAACGACGGACCTTGCTCGTTGTCGTTGGAGATTGCGATGTTGAGGTACCGCTTCCGAGGCGCCGCAGCGTCCGGCGCGCACCCGGACGGGCTCATCATTGCAGTGTACTCGGCCATGGCGAGGCAAATTGAAAAGTGAGAAAGATACCAAGTTTGAAATTTTGCCCACATCCTTTTGCTCGTCCCACGGCAGCTCATCTTCGGACGGCGCAGCGATCACGTGGGTGCGCCCGTGGTCGAGTCTGACCAGAGCACGTGGTTCAAATTCAGTCAGCCACAGCGCCGTGGACAGCGTGACGACGAGGTTACCAGGACATCCTCTCCTTCATTACCACCAACACGCGTTGGGAATCATAGCTAACACCAGTACAATGTGCAACAGGTCCTTGCCACGGCGAGGTCGTCGAGTGACGCCACATGGAACCAATCGCGTGCCACGTGACGGACAGTGATGTCTTGAATGATGTGGCATCCAATCAGAGCGCTCGCGACAGCTAATTCGCTTAAATAAGACAGAAATGCTAACATCTCGACGGCAACCCGCAGACCCTCGCACCTCCGAACCCTGTGTGGAGCGTGAAATGAGTCGATAGACTTTTTTGGATGCATGTAGTGCTATATCGAGATTTTCTTGACCAATTTCAAGCCGAGGAAAGCATCGCGTCCCACCGCCACCGGTGGACATGTACTTGAACAAGATAATTACGAGCAAACAGATGCTGGTCAAGAGAAAACAGAGTGGTCAAGGCCACATCGCGACCACATCCTCACGCGTGGAGCTCGGGGTACGTGCGAAGGCGCCCATCTCTGATCAGGGTGCAGACAGTGCAAACACAGCGTAGCGACAAGAACCCACGTCGTTCGTAGTCGGTCTTGCAGCACCAGCTCGTTCTTGCCTTTTATTCCTCGAGTGATCACGGACCGACTGCTCGTGCGTCGTACCAGCTCTTATCTGTTGCCGCTTAACACATACTATCTCACATTGTCACCAAAACGGCCAAGTTGACCCAACGTACAGTTCCTCCAGTCTCCTTCTTCATACGCTGTGCATCGAGTACGGCATCGTCACCCAGATCCGGCGAGCTACACTGGCCAAGCACGCCGGCGAGCAGTACCGAAGCTGGTGTCTGTGATGTGGCATCCAAGCTCGTCCATTCACACGGGCACATCCATTAGCGTGGGACTCTTAGCGGCGCTTTCAAGCCATTGAGCAGACTCCTTTTTGCCAAGTTACGAGAAATGCCGGCGGGGGCCATGAAGAAGCGCGTCTTGACCAAGCAGCAGCTCGAGACGAACCGCGTGCGCTCCAAGCAGTACTACGAGGACAACCGCGACTCTGTCCTCGCCAAGCTTCGCACGTACTACAGCGAGAACCGGGAGAAGGAGCGACTCCGCCAGCGCCAAAAGTACATGCGCATGCGGGCGCGCAAGCTCGCGGCCAAGGCCGAGGGCACCGTGGCACCGGCGTCGCCGACACCAGGAGCTGCGTGCCGTGGACCCTTGTCCGACCCCTTGAGCATCGCATTCCTTCTCAACTAGTGGGTTTGTCTTATGTCGACTAATTTAACGTCTTGTAACATCCTCATCACTAGTCACTTATGACTTTAAAAAGGGTGCATGCGATTATACAAAGCGCTTATCGACGACGGGCGTCCGAGAGGAACCGGTCGACGTCAAACGGGTCCTTGGACTCTTGGTCGTCGTCGCTGTGGCGCCGCCGCTTGGGCTCCCGGCTGCGGCTCCGACGACGGTCCCGCGAGTCGGAGCGCGACCGGCTGCGCTTGCGATCGCGCGCGTCGTCGTAGGTGAACTGGACGGGTCCGCTGCGCGTCTGCGCGTGGTTGGTGCCCGCAAACTCCTTGTCGGCGCGGAAGCGCTTCGTGCTTGAGCTCTTGAGGTCGGCGTAGTCTTTGTCGCCGTCAATCCCCTCGGCGTCGGCCTTGGGCCGGTACACGCTCGCCTTGCCGCGGTCCAGCATGGGCTTGCTGTACACGTTGTACTCGTCGTCGTTGCCAAACCCAGAGTCCATGCCCTGCGTCTGGTTGAAGAGACGCGAATCAAACTGCGCGCCGCTCGCACCCTTGCCGCCCTGGAGCTGGCCAAGCGCGATCTTCTCCGACACGTCGCGGTCTTCGTCGCGCGCGAGCTTGCCCTTCTTGCCCATGAGGTTCTCGAGGCGCATCTCGCGCTCGCGTTCACGCATGCGTTCGTGGCGGAGCCTACGATATATATTGCATGAGCTTCCACATCGCAGGAGCACGCAGAATGTACTTGTCACGCTCGCGGCGCGCACGCGGATCGTCGTCATCGTCGTCGTCGTCACTGTGGCGACGGTCGTCGCGACCTCCCGACCGCTCCATGCGAGCCTTGGCGGCCAAGTCGCGCAGCTCCTGTTCCTTCAGCTCCTTCTGCTTGGCATCGAGACGCTTCTGAACGTTCGCACGCATGTTGACTTCTTCGCGCGCCTTGCGCTCGGCAATCGCGAGGGCTTCGGCAAAGGACGCAAACTGGTCGTTCACAGTGACCTTCTGGAGACCACGGCCGTCGGCAGCAAGACGCTTGTCGAGGGCAATCGTGTAGCCCTTGGCGTTCTTCCAGTTCGAAATGCATGGTGGGATCTTCCACGCCTGCTGGTCCTGGACCGTCAGTTTGCGCGGCGGCGAGTGCAGCACGGGCACGGGCGGCGAGCCAGGGCCACGCATCGCCTTCTTGTGCTTGTATTTCGGCGGCTGCATCGGGTCCACGGGCGCTTCAACCATGCGGATAATACGCTGCTCGGGCGGCTTGTCGCCATTGCCTTGGTCGTGGGGCGTATACCTACAAACACAGTGGCGTCTATCATTTGAACAAAGAGCGTGGAGCGTACCGGATATAGCTCGAGTTCTCCTTGACCGACAACTGCCGCGTGGCGTTGATCGGGTGCGCGGCAGCGACCTTGCCCGACACGAGCGCATCGAGCGCCGCCTTGGTCTTGGCAGCGGTTTCCATCTCTTCGTCCACTGACGGCTTCTCGAGCGCCTCGGCCTCGGGCGCCTTCTCGACCACGTCGGCAAAGCTGCTGTACACGATCTGGTTCTTCTTCTTGACGATCGCATCGTACTGCGCGCGGCCGCTCTCGTTGACCTGGAGCGCCAGCACGTTCGTGTCGCTGATCTTGTCCTTGCTGCCAACGCCCATCGGAAACTGCGAGACGTGGATCTCGGGGTACGCGCCGCCATCGCCATAGTCCTCGGGCGCCCGCGGGACGAACTTGGCGCGGTGCGGGTACGCCGGGACGCTTCGGCGCGGAGCCTTGGCCACGACGATGCTCGCGGCCGGCGCGGCCGTCGGCGCCGGCTCGGTCGGCTTGGCGTAGGTGCGCACGGGCGCGGGGAGGCCGAGGAACGAGAACGCCATCGGGTCTTTATGACCGGTCAGCGGGTCCAAGCCGTGGAATTTATTTTTATTTTTCTACACCATACAAATACAGAGGTGACCTTTATAAAAATATGTCGACCGGATATGATGGAAAATAAAATGTTGTAAAAAATTACTGGAAGAAACCAGACTGAAGCAACCTATTTAAATAGAAAACATCAATCACATCCGGATACGCCTTGCACGGAATCCAGAACGACTAACTAAACGACTACACCAGAAAGGACAGTGTAACCGCAGTGGTTGGGATGGCCACCCCCACAAGATCGCCGGCCTACACGACGCGATTCCTGGCGTCGGAGGGAATCCCTGAGTACAATGCACTACTAGACAACCACCTGCGGGACCACCAAAAGTTCCTCCTCGGCTCCAGATCCAACCTCGCCCTCCTGCAGACAACCGGCGCGATCGCCAAGGTCGAGCCCGGCGCGTCGGACGACCAGTACATTGTCTACTTGGAGTCGCCCAAGCCGCAGCGCAAGCCCCCACTGCCAAAATCCGCGCATGCTGTGCCACGCCAAGCCAAGAAGAAGACCAAGAAACCAGCGCCGTCGCCCCTACGGTACCCACCATGGTGGTGATCGAACGTGCTTTCCGTGCTTGTGTGTAGAGTGGCGAGCGCCCATGGCCTTCGTAAAAAGAAGGACCACGTCGAGCCATTTGCTGAGATGCCGCCAATGGCGCAGCTCGCGACGCCGACAAAGCCACTGGTCCGGCACCGCAGTGCATCGGCTCTTGGCCATCGACCGTCGATACTGGCGGACGAGGCGACCAAGCCGACGGTCAACCACTTGCTCGAGAGCGACATGGCGTACCACGAGAAGATTCTGGCGCTGCAAAAGGACATTGCGTCGCTGGATGCAGAGAAGAAAACCATCGACAAGTACTACGCGCCTGGACGTATCGACGCTTCATGCGTGCGTCTAGGAGCATCGACAGCATGCGCAAGCAGCTGCGCGGCGTCCACGCCGTCCAAGAGAACGACCAAGCGGTCGCTCACTGCCTCTCGGTCGTCCAGCACCGCTTCAACAAGGCCGAGGAAGAGTGCATGAAGGCTGTGACGCAGCAAGCCGCCGTGCGCACAGCGATCGATTACCTTCGCCAAGAGCTGGTGCGACCTCGCTGGTTTCGGTCGGGGTTTTCTGTAGCGAACGGTAGCTGTCCTTGGGCCAAGTGCAGCGCAAGCTCGAGTCGGACATCCAGGACGCGCAAACAAAGATCATTGAAGCCGAGGAGCGCATCAACACAACCCGAGAAGTCGCGACTGACACGATGAACGAGCTCGCCGACTTGGAACGGCAGGCTGAAGCCGACGCGGTCGAGCGTGTGCTCAAGGTACAATATGGTCGCCTCTGCGATTCTATTCAAGTAGCCTCTTGCGATAGCTGCCACCCGAAGACAACTTTGTGCATATGGACGTTCCCCGCATGATGGCGTTGATCCACGACAGAGCGGCGGCGCGGGAGCAAGTGCTGGCGTCGATGAAAGCGAGCAATGCCGTACATACGACGAGTCTGCCCAGCGACAAATTGCGCATGTGGTGGTGGTGTAGGCGGCCGAAGCCAAAGAGAAGATCGCCGACGCCACCGACCCTCCGCTCCGCCACAAGGTTTATTTGAATCGTTCGGTTTGGCGCTGAAATGGCACAGAAAACGTTCGAGACGATCCAAACCGAGCTCGACGTCCCTAGCATCGAGGCGTTCGTCGACGCCTTTGTCGAGACCGAGACCCAAGTCGTTTTGAAATTTCGAGCGATTTTCACTCATCGTCTGCAGTAGCTTATCTCACTGTACAAATTGGACCTGGAGCAGCAAGCCGAAGTCAAGCGCTTTGAAGATCAGCTGGCGGCGCTCGAGGAAGAAGCAGCCCAAATTCAGACGTCGACGCGTGCAGCGGACGCGGCCAAGGCGATTGAGACCCAGAGTGCGCAAGAGAAGCTCCGTATCGCCGAGCGCAAGACCCAAGAGTAGAGATGATGTGATGCGCGATATACGACGGTGGACTAGGTACTTGGAGCTCACGCGGAAGTGCTCGATGGAGCACGACGTGTTGCGCGCGCCGATTCTGCACCTTCTCGAAGTGCTGAGAACTGACAAGCACGTGCTGCAAGGCAACGGGTACATTGCGGCTGTCCAGGACATGCCACTGCCGGCGATTCTCGGTATGTTTTCACTTTGCACGATCCTCTTTCTCGAATTTGAATCGACTTGATATACAAACTGTAGGAATTGCCCAAGAGCGCATTGTTGAAATTGCGATAACAAATCGCATGAAGCTGAACGCGACGACAAAGGAGCCGACCCGACGCGACTCGAGCCGCAGCAAGAAGGACATTCCGGTGCCAAGCTCCGAGGGATGACCACGCTCATCATCTCCTGTCTGTAGTCGGCCATCGTGGTTGGGCCGCGGGTGCCACTGGCCACGGTCCCGTCGCCCATGTCAGCCGACGCGCTCGGGTCCTTTGAGACGCTTGCCTCGACCATGGTGCTTCCGGCAGTTCTCACCAGCGACGCGGCCATGGACAACACGACGCCTGTCTCGCCCGACCAGCTCCTCCAGCGAGCAATCTTCCAGTAACCAAACGAACATGCACTAAAAGTCCAAGAGCAAGAGGGCGAGAATCTGCTCGACGTGGCGCGGCTCGACCTCGGGGCTACCGTCGATCATGGCTTCTTCTTGGGCGCGCTCGAGCGCTTGCAGGACAAAGAGGCGGAGGAACTCGGCCGCGACAGGCACCGCGTCGGGCTGGATCTTGACCTTGAGCCCGTCGGCAATGGCAGCGTCGTCGTCGTCGGCGCTGTCATCGCTTCCATCGGCGTCCTCGGTCTCGGCAAGTCGCTTCCATGCGCTGCGGAGGAGGCGCTCCACGAGCGCCGGCTTGAACCCGACCGGCTGGTCCATGCTCGGGTCGGAAATGACCTTCGTCAACCGATAGATTGGATATGTATTTCTAGAGGTACCATCCGCGCACGAATTTGTCTTGCGGATACCGTACGACAGTGTATAGTATCAAGTCGATACAAAGAAGCGATATAAAATCGTAAATAAGTACTAAGGTAAATGCCAAATAGTATTCCTAGCCTAGGACGTGAGCCGTGAGAAGGAAGACGACCATGATCGTCGCCGACGGCCACGGAGACGCGGTGGCAGCCGCATTGACCATGACGCCGTCACTGATGGTATCGGACTGGGACTGCGACGCATCTGCTACGAGAATACCTCCGTCCTTGGTGAGCGTATCGACGCTCGTCTGCGACGTCTGCACCGAGAGCTGCGTCGTCTCAAAGAGCACACCGGCCTTGACGAGCGCGTTCTGGAGCTCCATCGTCTTGTTGGCCATGATCGCGTTGAGCTTGTTGGCAGTGGTGTTGAGCGACTCGAACGTCGGCCGCTTGATGAAGACGTCGACCTGCAGCAGCGACGTGCCGTTGACGATGATGTCGGCCGTCTTGGAGAGCGTCACGTTGGCCATGACCACGGGCGGGTTGCCGATCGTCGCCGACGTAGTGTTCGATGCGCCGTCACTGCTGTTGCTGCTCAAATACGACGCCAGTGTCTCTGTGAAGGCGTACGCGTAGTTCTGGAAGCCTGTGGCGTTGGCGCCTTGGATCCACATGGTCGAGTACAAGCTGTACTGGACGGGCGCGACTGCCGGGTCCGGGTACGCTTGCGGCGCGCACGTCAAGACGCAGCGGTTGGCGTTCGGGATCGCCGACTGGCACTGCTGGTACGCGGGCGTGTAGTCGTTGTAGCAGTTGGTCTGGACGCACTGGAGGAAGCCGGGGTAGCAGACGCAGCCGTCGTTGTTGTACGTGGCGAGGCACTGGTTGTAGCGCGCTTGGCAGTTGGTCTGGTAGCACGGGTACTGCGTCCAGTGCGTCGGCGTAATGTAGAGCGGGTAGTAGTACGGGTGGTAGTAAAAGTACGGCGGTGGGAAATACATGTACGAGTACGCGTAGGGGCGGTACATGGGCACGAAGACGACGGGCCGCACAGGCGTGTAGATCATTGCCGGTGGCATCGGGCGCATGCCTTGGTTGGGCATCGGCTGGCTCGCGGGTACAGCCGGTGCAATCGGGCGGGGACCGGTCGCGGGCACTGGCGCAGGTACGGGGCGAGGGCCGGGTGCGGGGCCTGGCGCCGGACGCGGGGCTGGAGCTGGCGCTGGACGCGGGGCCGGAGCAGGAGCAGGCTTGCCACCGCCGCCACCACCGCCGCCGTGACCACCGCCGCCACCGCCATGACCGCCACCACCACCGTGACCACCACCACCGTGACCGCCACCACCTTTAGCCGGAAGCAGGTGACGCAGGCTCGGGACTTGTTCGTTGGAGGGCGAGGGTGTTTCGAGAGCAAGTGCAAAGGACGCCAGGCACACGAGGACTGCAAAGAGTCGCATGCTGAGCGGAAGGAAAGTTGGGAAATGAAGCTCTTCGGTGCGATCGATTTCATCGCGGACGTCGCAGTGTCCAGTCCAACACCTGTTGGTGTCGCCCAATCATTTTTGAGTTTGAAAAAGAAATGAGCCAGGACGTTGGACTTGCCACGAGACGACGACAAAGTGTCAAAATATAGGGAATCCCCACTGGGGATATTCTACACCTCGTGCCTCAAGGAAAACCAATCTGGAGCTCGATATTCATTAGTGTGCTTGTCGCGCCGAATTCTATCTTCCAGCCGCTACGCTGAGGTAAGTTGCCAATGTCCAATTCACACATTCTCAGTCACACGCCAACACATTTCAGCACCCACGTCCACGAGCAGCAGAGGTGGACAACGGGACCACTTTCATTCAACGAATTCAACAAGACCTTGGGTCAATGATCTGCGTGTCGCAAGACAGGATTGATCAATCCACTTGGCTCCAAGTTTGGCTTGGGCGAGCAGCGATTTGGAAAGAAAGGCCTTGTTCTCAGCCTCTCGCTCGCGTGTGCGGTACTCATTTGAGTTTGCCGACTCTAGTCCCGACAAGCGCGGCCATTAAATACGCGCGACTACAGATCTCTCACTAGCACCAGCGATGCATTGCTTCAGGACCTTGATTGCGGCACACACATTCCATTTCATAGCTCAAGTCAGGCCATAATTCTAGGACGAGTCGGAGCTGTACCACCAGCAGTTGCCGTCCATCGGTCAATAAAAATGCGCGACAATACGATCGTCCTTCAAACGACAATGTGTACCTAGTGCTCACTGCACCATCGAGTCGCGTGAGAAACATCATCATCATCAATATTGTCATAGGAGTCTCCGTACCAGAGCGAGACGGCGTACACGTTGTTGCGCGCGAGGAGTTGGCTTGCGGCACGCTCGGCCATGAGCGCCTCCATGTGCGTGCGCGCTTCCGCATGCGTCATCGTGCCTTGCAGCGCGTCGATCTCCGCAGCCAATGCCGTCGGGAGCCCCGTGGAACTTGCGAGTGACGCCCACATTGCTTGCTGCGGCGGCACGTGCGCTGTCGAGACAACCGCGCGACTCGGGTCGACCAAGAAGAAGGCGAGGATCTTGCGCTGCCCCGGCGCCGTCTTGTCTACGAGCTCAAACGGATCGACTCGGTGCTGTAAAAAGTTGGGAAAGACCACCGCGCGGCCCGTCGTCGCCGTGATAAACCCGGTTTCCTGGACGTTCTCCGAGACGCCGTTGGTGACGCCGTACACAGCTTCCAGGCCGCCTTCGTCCAGATACCCCTCGGTCTCGAGCGCCTCGGTCGGGTCAAACACGTGGCGAAACCGGAGACGGGACTCGGAGATGTTGCGAACGTCGTAGTAGATGAGCCCCGTGGCCACGATCGCTTCGTTGGCCATGCCCTCAATGTGCCATGCGCCGCCCGCATACTTTGGCTTCTCGGGCGTGAGGTTAATGCTGGCAATCTTGACAATCACGTGGAGTTCGCGCTCGGAGAGCGGTGTCACCGGCACCGGCACGGGCGGCGGCGTGAACCGCGGCGGCAGCACCGGGGTAATGAACGGCAACTCATTGTCGTCCACGTCGTCAAAGAGGTCCTTGTGAAAGGCGCGGAAGGCGTCGGTCTCGTAGTTGCTCAAGCCTGTCTGCGCCGTGTACTGCTCCGAGGCGTACTTGAAGCGCGAGACGCGGAACCGACCGGGGTGCGGGATGCGCACGAGGGGCGTCGTCGTCTTGGACGCGACGGCCGCTTCAAAGAGGGGACGCAGCGACGCAAAAGCTGCTTCGATTGTCTCGAGGACCGGCGCGGATGGCGGGAGGTTGTTGACGTATGACGTGAAGCGCGCGCGGCCCGCAGCGTCGACCATAAGCGGCGAAGGGAGCCATTGGTACGACGTCGACACGTCATTGTCGGCGGCGTTGACGGTCGCCGGGATGTTGGACGGATTCCACGTCAAGATGCGGTCGCCATACGCAGCGTTGGGCGTCTGCGAGAAGAGCGTCCGGTTGTAGATGGCGCAGTAGAGCGACGGGTGCACAATGTCGAGCACTTGGTCGTCCGAGTGCGGGTGGTAGTCGCCACGACGAACAGCGTCGGCCTCGAGGCTCGCGGTGCGCGCCTGGAGTTCCGCAATGAGGCTCGAGCCAATGAGCGCGTCGGTCGTGAAGGCACCGTGGGCGCTCCCTGGACACATGGCGCTCTCTTCAACAAGGCGCTGGTAGACACGCAGTTCTTGCTCCAAGTAGGCAAACTGCTCCTGGTTCAAGCCCGACTCGACTTGCCATGTTGCGCGCACGTCGTCGTCGGCGAGCTTGGTCGACCAGGCGCGCTTGCTTAGAACGGCGCTAAGCACCGCGAGGTACTGCAGCTCGACGATCGTGTAGGCAGAGGTGAAGACGCGGCCTTGGTTTGTGTTGAAGTCGTACGGCTGGATCTTGGGCTGCCAAAAGAGGTCGCTCGGTGCCGCCGCCTGCCACGCCGCCGGATCGTCGCGAAGGAGTCTCTGCACGACACGGTGCTTTTGGTGCGCTGTCGCGAGCCCCACGAGCGACGACGGGTCCTAAGTTGCAGACCTTGAGTGGGGAGGGTGGGCTATGCTTTCTTACAGAGAGGGTCGTTGTCGCGAGCAATAGCTCTAAAATGGCCACGTTGTCGGCCAAGACGGCGTGGTGCACGGCCATTCGCCCCTCCTGCATCACAATGAACTGCAAGTCGACTTCTTGCTACGTACAGTGTCGACGGCGCAGGGGTTGGCGCCGCGGGCCAAGAGAAGGTCGACGATAAGTGGGCTGTTGGCTGCTGCTGCGAGCATGAGCGCAGTCTCTCCCGTCTACAGCGTTAGGATGGGATCAGCAGATTGAGCGGAGATTGTGAGGTACCGTGGTGTCAGCCACATTGACGTTCGCGCCGGCACCCAATACCACGTGGACAACGTCGACCTTGCCGAGTGCAGCAGCTTCAACGAGCGCAGTGCGACCGTTCTAACGGACCGTTGAGATTCGCGCAAGAGATGAAAGGCGATTGTAATACTACCTTGCTCGCAGCGTTGACGTCGGCGCCGCGGTCGATGAGACCGCGGACCTGGGCTGCGTTACGATACTGCGCTGCCGCCGCCACGAGCGGCTGCTGCGTCTAAGTCACGAGATTAGAACCCTGACGCTCTTAGACACGTACAAAGAAGCCGACGCGCATGTTGGGCGGCGACAAGGGCAAGAAATCGTCAAACAAGTCCCATTGCCGCGTCAAGATGACCACGTCCATGGGCACAAATTTGCGCTATGACGATTCGTCATGAAGCCAATATGTGGTATGTCACGATGACGTACGCTGTTTGTGGCAGTGAGATCGGCATAGACGGCGATGGCTTTGGCCATCTCAGTCTGACGCTTCGTCACGGCCTCCATGAGTGGCGTGTTAGCAGAAAACTACACATTCAATGCGTCGTAGGACGAGGACGCGGCGACACGTACCTCATCCTCGATCGTGAGGTCGCAACGCTTGGACGCAAGCAAACACTTTGCAATGTCAACGTTGTTGTCGTACATGGCGACGGCGAGGGGCGTGTACCCGTCCTATGGATGTCGGAAACGGCAATGTCAGTACTTGCACATGGTGCTGCCACGTCATTGACGTACATCCGCCTGCAGATTCACATTCGCGCCATTCTGAACAAGAAACGACACGAAGGATGCGCTTCCGTACAGCACGGCCACGTGCAACGGCTAATCAAATGTTGGTGACGCCGATATGCGTTCGTTGCCTGCCGATAGTAGTACCGTCGGGCTCGCGGCGTTGATGTCAACGAACGGCAGCAAGAGGCGACCAGCCTCGACGTGGTCATTCATTGCCGCATACGCCATCGCTGTCAATCCCCCCTTGAGGTGAGTATCAGTCTAGTGGTCGGCCGTGTCGTAACGAAATAGTACCTTGTTGGCGATCGCCACGTTCGAGACGGGAAGAAGACGCTCAATTACCGCGATATGACCTGCAGCGGCCGCCATCATCAGTGGTGTGCGGTTTTTCTACACACATTGAGGCAGTGCGTAAGCGCAGACGTGATATGGACCCACAAACCTCGTTGGTGGCGTTGGCGTCGCAAGACGGAAGCAGCTCGTCGACGATACCGACGTGGCCTGCGTCGCATGCGATAAAGAGCGCGTGCATGCGATCGGCCATTTCGGCTGTCGACGGAAGCTGCGCGCGAACGGCTTCAAGGTCCCCGGCTTCGGCCGCGTCGATGAGCGCTTGGTTGGCCATTGGCAAATTGCAAAATGGCAACTTCGAGACCCTTCTCTGCCACCGGCCGCCATATCCATATGGTCATGAGTGTGTCCCGACATCCCACGCTACCGGTTCACTGACGCTACACGAAGGTGCAGTTCCCACTTGCGTCGGTCTACAGCCGCAAGTACTCCATAGTCATGTACTCTAGCACACTTGCGTAATACGTGTACACATGTCACGATAGCATCCGTGTGCAACACATTTGTCCTCGGCTTCGCTATTCATTGAGCCATTGAGCAAAAAGGGAGGCACGACTTTTTGCACCGTGCTTGAACATCAAGGTTCATCGTCGAGGTGCATGGAGAATGATGTTATTAGTAGAGATAAGGACAGCGACATCACGGACGACAAACGACTTGATCAAATTCCGCACACGCATGTCTGCAGAGTTTGCAGATATCGTAGTAATGAAATTGTGTTAGCTTGTCCACCAAATTGTTGTCCTTTCTGTCTTCTCTTGCAACATCCTTTCAGAAGGTCGAACCCATGGCGTCAACCAGCGCATACCATCGACATCGACGTAAGGTGTAGAAAGCACTCACCAAGTATCGGTGCATGTTGATCGAGCAACACGCTGCCCTTGGCGCGCACCGTCATCATCCTCTCGGTGACATCTTGTTGATGGTGAGCAATTAAACGTGTAAATGTGTTTCAAGGATATATACGCATGCAACGTTCTTCGAGTGCGTGCGGTGACAGTCGACGGAAGCGACGGTCTAAGCGCCTACTTCAAGGTAGACCCATGCCACGAGCGCTACGAGTAATAACGTCGGGCCATTGGCTACCCCGGCGTTCGCAAAGACACCGTCGCTCGAGTCGTTTGGTGCAATCACTTGGCCGTTGCTGTCCAGCTCATCGACGCTCGTCTGCGCCGTCTGCACCGTGAGCTGCGTCGTCTCAAAGAGCACACCGGCCTTGACGAGCGCTTGCTGAAACTCAATCGTCGAGTTGGCCACGAGCCCGTTGAGCTTGGTGGCCGTCGCGTTAAGCGCCTCGAACGTCGGCCGCTTGACCAAGAGG